ATGTAAAATTATTTAAAATATCAGAATAGGACATCTAGTTATATTAAGACTGCCATTTTCTTTGATATTGAAAATAAATAAACATTATTATTTAATTAAATATGTTTTAATGCAAAAATGGAAATATAAATACAAACATGCAAATGTGCAAAATGCAAATGCATGTATGAAAAGGTGTTACTCAAGAGTGATCATCTTAGAACAGATTTCATTGAACACAAAAGTTTTGGTACTTCAAACAAAACTTTACATGTAGGGAATAGCTTTTACTCCTAATTTCTCTATTTCCCTTAAAAGCCAAATTAACTTCCACTCATGCTCAGGTGTGGAGTTATCAATATGATTTAATTCTCTCGCGAAGCCAGCTATGTCCACCAGCTTATGAACCACATCGTTTGCTTGAACAACAGCTTCATTCATGATATTTTCATTTTCCTTCATCTTTCGTGTCAATTCTCGGAGTTGTGAACAATGTTGCTCATTTTTTCTTGTGAGGGAATCTTTATGTTCAAGAAGCTCTCGTACAAGATTCCCATAATCATCTAAACATTTCTTCAATGTCTTGTTCTTAACGCTAGTGGCTTTTAATTCAGTATCAATCGCAAGCTGATGAATCTGATATAATGCTTCCATGTTGGCCATAGCACTATTCAACATTTGATTTTTGGCTTGACATTTTCCCAACTCAATGACATTTGTATTGCGTCTTTCTTCTGCAACTCTAAAATCATGAGAAAACTTCTAGGCACGTCCTTTATTTATGTTACAGTTCTTTTTCAGTTTGGTGACCCCTGTTATCCATTCTTCTGGGGTGTTTCCTAGGCCAGTATTTTGAAAGGCTTGACTGACCTTCTGGAAATCTTCATGCATGGTTTCCATTTTGGTGCTCAATTTATCATTTGCAATCTTTAGATGACGTATTTGAGCCTCATACCTCAACAATTTTTCTTCTTTCTGGGTGACCCTACTAATAGTCTTACCTTTGTCCACTTTTGGTAATAATCTAGCAGGACCTTCAGTTACCAAACTAGGTTGATCCTTTGTCATAAATTGTAAGGTTCCATGATCCAAAAGACTTTGGACTTGACGTTTGAAGGCAAGACAATTCTCTATGGTATGTCATTGAGTTCCGACATGATATTCACAATAAACGTTGATGTCATACCAATTCGAAAATGGAGGTTGGAACGATTTTATGTAGTACAGGGCCACTTCTCTTGCTTCAAGTAATTTTTCATACAACTCTCTATATGATATAGGGATAGCATCAAAATAAGAACCACCTTTTGTCTTGGATTGAACCTGAGTTTTAGACGTCGGGAGCAGACTAAACTTCGTCGATTTCAGATTATATGATTTCTTCTCATCTCTGGGAGCTTTTACAGTTGTCACCATTTCCTGAATATCTCCAAGCAACTTGTGAATACAAATAATGATTGTCTGCAACTTCTCAAATTGGTTAGGATCAGAAGTACCTTGCATATCTGAAATTGTAGGATTATCTTCATTAAGCTTTCTCTCTTTATGTGCAGGAATCTCTTCTCCTTTGGCCAAAACAGATATTCTATCCATCATATTGGACATCTGCTCTCTTATTTCTCATATCTCCTCTTGCTCTTCCATGGGCATACGATCTTTGGGCGCATAGCTCTCCTCTATCCTCGGAGTTCCCTCAGGATGCCTTTCCTTGGCTGCATCATATTTTGTTTGATCATAAAACTTTTTGTCCATTTATGATTTCTTTCCAATTTGATGAACAGTCTTTCAAGTCAACACCTTTTGGTTATGTCATGATCATGCAATGTAAATAAAAGAAATCAATATAAACAAGTTAGAGCAAAATAACATGCATGAGAAAAAATAAAATGGTTAGTACCAACTAATGAAAAGAAAAAAAATTCTATCTATCAAGGTATAAATCCTAACCTCATACTTTCTAGTCCCATGCTTTGTTTGGAAAAATTAACCTAACCGCATGATTTCTAGTTCGCATGCATTTATTCAGGAAAAAGGAAATAAAATAAAATAAATTAAAAGCTAGAGCTTATTTCTCCTTTGTGTATACCTATGGACAGAGGTTCAGTATTATCTTAGATCAGGAGAATTTCTAAGGTTTATTATATGCAAGGTTTCAGTTCTAGGAGTAAAGGTATTCGAATTGTCCTTGTTAGTGCCCCCTTGGGAAGCCAACCCTCGATCCTAGTCCACTACAGACTTCAGCGGATCGAGTTCAATTCGAGGGGACACATTTCCATATGCCTGACGCATAGAATAAATTCCCACGAAGACATAGAGCATATGAACCCCGAAAGCTACTTGCTAAGTCTAACACGGAGAATAAATTCTCATGAAGACGTCGCTTTCACTCCAACTTAAAAGGGACAAATCTCAGTTATAGAGATTATGTTTATGCAATGCAAGTGTTGTGTGTGAGGAGAAATATTCAAACCTCTGACAAACAAATAAACAATGAAATTTAATACCTGAAAATAAAATAAAAACAGTAATAAAGAAAAATATATAAAATATTATGAAAATAATAAGTATATATATAAAAAAATTTGAAAAGAAAGAATTATAAATTAAATATATGAATTTTAAATTTCTAATTAATAAATACAATTTATAATTGATTTTAAAGCTTGACCAAGTACCCAGCGGAGTCGCCAAGCTGTCGTAATCGGTTTTCGCCCGGGCACGAAATTTTTAGTCGGCGGGAAAAGTGATGTGAATAAATGGTTTTTAAAATGTTTTGTGAGTCACCATCGGCCTTTTGGGTCAGGTAGGTCGAATACCTAAAAATTATCTTTTAAAAGAGTTTTTAAGAAAACATCAGTTAAAAGATAAACTGATATGCTTTTTAACCAAAGATTCGTTCTTTTTAATAATAAAAAGGATTCGTGGTCGATTACGTTTGGGGAAGGATTAGCACCCCCACAACGCCCCAAAATTGGTACTTATTAATTATAAATTGTTTCTATTATTGGAAATTTTCAAAATTCATTGATATATTTAATTTATAATCATGTTTATTTCAAATTTATAATTTTAAGAAAATATATTAAGATATATGTATATATATATATTTCTAAATAATATATTTATTTACTTGGAAATATCAGAAAATGGCTTCTAGGTGCCTTAAGACAGCTCTTTTTTATATAAAAAGTAAATAAATATTAATAAACATTTATATAAAAATAGTTAATTAAAAAATAATAGATTATTATATATAATTTTAAAAAATAAGATATTTATTTATTTAAAAATATCAGAAAATGGATATCCAGTTGCTTTAAGACTGCCCTTTCTTAATATTGAAAAATAAATAAATATTATTAATTTACAAAAATTAATTAAATAATATATATTAAAATAATAAAATAATAAAAATCAAAGTACTAAATTAAACATTGAAATTGAAATGATAATAATACAAATTAAATTGCAATTAAATAGTGACTAAAACATATAAAATTAAAATAATATGATTAAAATATAAAATATTAAAATTAAAGGTCATAGTTCGTAATATTATAAAAAATACAATTACTAATAGTGTAATTAACCCTTAATTATTAAACAATTATTAAAATAAAATTTATCAAAGTTAAAGGCCTTAACTCGAATAAATAAAAAATCTAAGTGCTAATAATGTAATTTAGCCTTATTTAATTAATTTGGGTTAAAATATAAATTATAAAATTTGTAAAGGACTAAATAAGGCATTTAACCTAAATATATAATTATACTGGAAATGACTAAATTATAATAAAATAAACTTACGAGACCAAATTAAAAGTTTAGAATTCGATTTCTAGTGACTAAAATGGAATGTTACAAAACTTGAAGGGTTACGGACGGGGTTTAACCTATGCGTGAAATTACATGGGTATCCCTCACCAAAACAGCGTCGTTTTGGTGAGGGTATTTATACCCCTTAAAACCGGCCCCAAGGGCCATTTACTCTCATTTCTCTCCTTTCAATTTTCTCTCTAACTGAGAGAAAAAAAACTCTCCCGCCTCTCTCTAGAAATCTTTGGCCGAAAAGAGCCCGGTCACCGGCCGGCCGCCTCACTTCGACGCCGACAGCCCCCGTCGGCCACCATCCGCGGTGGCAGGAAATGAAATTTTTACACCAAAATTTCCCTTTTTTTTCTTGAACCCGAATATAAGTACTTTTAGTACTAAAAACCCCTTTAAATCCGTAGATCTAAACAAAACCGAAGGTTTTACCTCGGTTTTCACTGGTTCCACAGAGGTTTGGAGGCTCCGATGATGTGTAGTCCTCTCGGTGAGTCTCTTCTCTCATTTGTCTCAGTTTTTTGGTCTTGGTTGCTGTTGAGATGTGTTCCTTGTTGTTGTGTCTCCTCGTTGTTGGTTGTTCCCCTCTATTTTCTGTTCTTGATCGCTGTTTTTTTTTGTTGCAGGTGTGGTCGATGGCTTTTATAGCCATCGACGGTATAGCTCTCGGACCAGTCCAAAGGGGGAAACTTCGGCGAGTCACCAAAGCTATGCTGGTGACTCACCATAGAGAAGCGAAGTGGATGGCTGGCCCATCGTTGGGGAGCTTCTAGAGGCTTCTAGCGAGGGTGTGGAACTGGTGGAGCGTCGGCAGCGACGTTGGCAGTTGCTGGTTGGGTCACTTGGCATTGGAGGCGTCGGCAGCAGCTAGATAGTTGATAAGGCGGCGGTGGCGCTAGGGTTAGAAATCCTAGAAGAAACCCTAAATGAGTTTAGGGTTTCCATCTAGTTTGGGTCGACTCTGGATTGAATCGGGCCTATGTTGTAAACGGGTTGGGTTTGTAAATGGGTTTGGGTTTGATATTTGGGCCTTGTGTATTTGTAATTATTTATTAATAATAATATAATAATATTTATAATAATAATTATTATTATAATAATACTAATATTTAGTAATAATAATAATGGTAATTTTAAAATAATAATTTAAGTAAAATGAAAAATTAGTGTTTACAGTATTAATGGTGATTAAACCTCTTATTGATTTAGAATTGAGGTGGTTGCCATTGAAGAAGAGGGCTCATCATCATTATTTGGCCAACATGAAGACTTCCACTCATTTTCTGCTAATGTTTTTCGGCATCATCTTCATGTCTGTGTATCCACCAGGACACTTTTTCGGCATCGAGTTTGAGGTTCGTGTGATCAATGGCTTTTCCAACAACTCATCGCTGCCATTGGTGATATGGTGCGTGTCACAGCAGGATGAAGACATGGGGGGCCGAGCTCTACAGGAAAGTGACGATTACGGGTGGCGAGTTAAGACCAATTTATGGGGCAGTTCTGATTACCTGTGTACGTTGAAATGGGACAGAAAGAGGAGGAGTTTCGAGGGGTTTAAGGTTGGTAGAGACAGTCAAAGGTGTGGCAGTCTTAACAAGCGTTGTTGGGTGGTTAGAGAGGATGGGTTCTACTTCAGCAGAGATGAAGTCTAACTGGAAGAAAGAGTTTTCCTGGTGTTGAATTCTTCATGTGAATGAATCCCATGCCTTTTTCTGGGTTCTGCAGATCAAAAACCACATCTCGTTTGTCTGTTTGTCAATGTAGAACACAACCTTGTTGGTTTTTTGGCAAATTTTGAATCCCACATTGATTTTGTATAAGGAGAAGGGGAAATTCTTTTGTTATAAATAGAGCCCTCCTCCTCCTTAGTTTAGCATCCCACAAATATAATTCTTCTTCTATATTAAAGGCTATTTGTACTCTTTCTATCTCTTTGTAATATTTCCTCTATTAGTGAAATATTATTTTAGCAGTGTTCGAGGATGTAGGCATAATTTTGGCCTAACCTCGTTAAATTTTGGTGTTCTCTTTTATGTTTATTTAATAGCTATTGTCGGGTATAGTTGTTAATTATTGTCCTATTAAAATTACTTGTCTTGGTAGTTCTGTCTAAGGAGAATGAGTTTTAAGAGGGACCATTGTGACCCCTCCACTCTTTCTTGGAATCTACCTTGTGGTGATTTTTAGTACAATCGTTTTCACACTAGTAACCTAGATAATAGTTTTCAAGGTGAATTTGTTATTATTGGTGGAAATTAACCCGAATTCCACAACAATTGACATCAGAGCTCTTGGTTTATTTTAGTATGCTCTGTAGTTGCGGCTTAGGCTGATCTTCCACATCAGAAAAAAATTTCCTTGGGCTAATTGACATTCCGCATTGACAGCTATTAAATAAAATTTGTAGCAGAAAAGGCAGACGACACAAAAACATCCACATCGTCGTCAACAGCTTCTGCATCTTCAATTTTGGCAAGAAATACTGTGACAAATGTTAGATTTGCAGTGGAGATTTTTTATGGCACTGGTCATTTCGGCATATGGTAAAGTGAGGTTCTAGATGCCCTATTTCAGCAGGGTCTAGACATTGCTATTGACGGAGAGAAACCAGATGATGTTGAGGAGAAAGAATGGAAGATGATCAATAGATTGGCATGTGGTACTATTCTATCGTGTCTTTCTAGAGAGAAGAAGTATGGATTTTCTAAGGAAACTTCTGCAAGTAAATTGTGGAAGGCACTGGAGGAGAAATTTTTGAAGAAAAGCGGTCAAAACAAGCTCTACATGAAAAAGAGATTGTTCCGCTTCAACTATGTACCAAGTACCACTATGAATGATCACATTATTAGCTTTAATCAGCTGGTGACTGATCAGATGAATATGGACGTGACTTTTGAAGACGAAGATCTGGCTCTGATGTTGATGGGATCACTTCCTGATGAGTTTGAGTTTCTTGAAACTACTCTACTTCATGGGAAGGTTGATATGTCTCTCAGTGAAGTAACTGTTGCCTTGTATAGTTATTAATTGAGAAAGAAAGACAAACAAGAAAACACAAGTGTCGAAGCAGAAGCTCTTGTTGTTAGAGGCCGTTCGAAGAGTCAGAATAAAGGAAGGAGAGGGAGATCGAAGTCAAAGTCTAGATTGAGCAAAGATGAATGTGCCTTTTGTCGAGAAAAAGGGAATTGGAAGAAAGAATGTCTCAGGCTAAAGAATAAAGGCAAACCTGAAAGGGGAAAGGTTGTCTCAGAGTCAAATGTGGTCGAGTATGATGATGCAGATTCATATTTCGCATTTGCTGCTACACCATCAACCAGTTGTTCCAGTTCATGGCTGTTAGATTCAGCTTGTAGCCACCATATGACCCCCAATAGAGAATGGTTCTTTGATTTTAAAGAACTAAAAGGTGGAATTGTCTACACAACAAATAATTCCTCTCTTGACACACTTGGGATTGGTTCAATTCGCTTGAGGAATCAGGATGGATCAATCAGAACCTTAACAGGTGTCCATTATGTACCAGATTTAATGAGAAATCTCATATCTGTGGGAACTTTAGAGTCAAAAGGTTTAGAAATGAGGGCAAAAGATGAGTTTATGAGGATTATCTCTGGTGCACTGGTGATAATGAAGGGAATCCAGAAAAGAAATAATGTGTATTACTTTCTGGGTAGTACAATTGTTGGGACAACAGCAGTGACAACTTCTACTGATGAACAGGAGTCAGAAGCAACCAGGTTATGGAATATGCGCTTGGGGCATATTGGTGAAAAATCCTTGAAAATGCTGATAGATCAAGGATTATTGAAGGGTGCTTGGGCTTGCAAATTAGTTTTTTGTGAGCATTGCAGCAAAGGGAAGAAGACGAGGGTGAAATTTGGAACAACAATCCATGATACTAAAGATATTTTGGATTATGTTCATTCAGATGTATGGGGGCCTCCCAAGACAACTTCATTAGGAGGAACACACTATTATGTCACCTTTGTTGGTGATTTTTCCCGGAGAGTTTGGGTGTATACAATGAAGACAAATGATGAGGTGCTAGGATTTTTCCTTAAATGGAAAAAGATGGTGGAGACTCAAACAGGCAAAAAAATCAAACGATTTTGAGGTTCGTGTGATCAATGGCTTCTCCAACAACTCATCACTGCCATTGGTGATCTGGTGCGTGTCATAGCAGGATGGAGACATGGGGGGGCGAGCTCTACAGGAAGGTGACGATTACGGATGGCGAGTTAAGACCAATTTATGGGGCGGTTCTGATTACATGTGTACGTTGAAATGGGACGGGAAGAGGAGTTTCGAGGGGTTTAAGGTTGGTAGAGACAGTCAAAGGTGTGGCGGTCTTAACAAGCGTTGTTGGGTGGTTAAAGAGGATGGGTTCTACTTCAGCAATGATAAAGTCTAACTGGAAGAAAGAGTTTTCCTGGTGTTGAGTTCTGCATGTGAATGAATCCTATGCCTTTTTCTGGGTTCTGCAGATCAAAAACCACATCTCGTCTGTCAGTCAGTCAATGTAGAACACAACCTTTGTTGTTTCTATGAGAGCACCACAGTTTTTTCCATTGAAATCTTAATGGTGGGCTTGGTCTCGAGCATGGATGGATCGAAGGGTGTTGAATATGGTCATATTTTTAGAAATTTTAAATTTTTATATAATTAAATTACTTTTATATAAATTTTCTATTAATATCAATTTCATATCTTCTGAGCTTTAATTTAAATTCTTAAATTCTACGTCTCTTAACATAAAATTCTGCATATCTATCGGAATCGAGAAGGAAAAGAAAGAAATTTGGTTAGTTATAGGACATGCGCATGCCTTATGGAAGCTGAAAAACAAATATGATTTTCTTTTGGTATAATTCCTTCAACATTTTATTAAATGGTTATTTTGATTTTTTATATTTTTGGATTATTTTAATTCTTAATATTTCATTTTAGAGTAAAAAGATTTCTAATATTTTATTAAATAATCATTTTAATTATTATTTTCTCTTATTTAGAACATTTTTTCCACAATATTTCATTTTAAGTTAGAAACCTTTATTTTGGAGCATTGATTGTTTGTTGACTAATTGTTTCTAAGATTAAAATATTCTAAATTTTTTTTAAAAAATAACTATTTAATCAAATATTTAGAATATATTTTTATAATTTAGTCAAATTTCATTACTTATAATCTTTGTATTTGCCCCAATATACCTTTCTATAAAAGAATAAAAGGTTTAGGGAGAATATAACATTGGTCCGTCCATGGTGAATAGAAATGGGTAGCTAGACCTTAGCGGTTATTTTTTTGGCATAACCATCGATATTCAATTTATTGATTAATTAATCCAGATCAAGTATTACAGAGACAAAGGTGATCCTCCCAACCCAATTTGCTTTATTCGTAAACATCAGGATTTGAACCCCTGACATTGCTTAAGGAATCTAATGTTTAATCCCATTAGATCAACTGATTGTTGGTTAGCCTTAGCGGTTATTGAGTGGAAAGGAAGGTAATTCTGTAAGACAAACTCGTATTTTAAGGTTAAGAACTATTGTTTGTGTTCCCTTAAAAGTTAATAATCAAATCGGATTAGTTTAAGTGTTAAACAACTTGATATCGTTTTAAGTAGGTCTCAAGTTTGAGTTTTTATGTACGTAAAAATTTCCTATTAGAAGACTCATCTACCTGATTAATCAAAGTGAAACTTTAAGAACCAAAAGATATATATATATATATATATATATAGAGAGAGAGAGAGAGAGAGAGAGAGATTTTATCATCATTAAAAACAGAGGGTAATTCTACTTTAACAAATCCCGGTGAGACCGTTAAGGGTGCGTTTGGTTCACGGAATGTAAGATTACCAGTGGGAATAAGATTACTAAGAATGTTGTATTTTGTGTTTGATTCATTTAGCAGGAATGTAAGATTACAATGTTTGGTTAAATGAATAAAAGATTATTAAAATGTATATTTTACCAAATTGTCCTTATTATATATTTATTTTTTTAACAAGTTGAATTCTACTATAATATTACTATACTTAATTTATATTTTTCTTTAAAAAATTTAAATTCATAAAATTTATATAATTTTTTTACAAAATTGAAAAGATAAATAGGTTTAATGAAATGGTAAAATTTTATTTTAACCCCTGAACTTAATATAAAATTCTAATTATAGACTTTTTTTGTAAATCTAAAATAGTTTAAGGATAAATTTGTAATTTAACATTCGTAGATTTTTTTTATTCAACAACAGAATAAAGAAATTTTTGAAAGGAAAAAAATTAAGGGCATTTTAGCCCAAAACGCTGATAATCCAACAATACATAAGAAAATGGAGATATTAACATTCCTTATAATATACCCCCAAAATATCACTGTTGAAAATAAAATACTACCAGAGGCTAGGAATATTGGCTAACCAAACGGGGAAATGAGATTTCATTCCCTTAGTAATTTGAGATTACTCCAACCAAACTCCCCCTAAAAGTTGTACTATAAGGAAGATGGACTCAAGGAGATGTAATGTCTTGTCAATTAGACGATTCACATAACAACAATAGCAATTCAAAATTCAAGTTTTGAAATATAAGTTTTTAGTTAATCCCTTAATTTTGCATTTTTATTCCATTTGATCTTTTAATTGTAA